CCTGGGCCAGGGGCTCAACACCCTCAGCAGCAAACATTTCTTCCTTCTCTCTAAATCTCCCCCTTTTAGTTTCAAACCATCCCCCCTTGTCCTGTCCCAACAGCTCCTGCTCCAAAGTCCCCCCCCAGCTTTCTGCCAGGCCCCTGGCAGCCCCCAGCAGGTCTCCCCAGCTGGAGCCTTCTCCTCTCAGCTGCCCCAGCCCAACTCTCTCCTGCTGGGCTCCCAGCAGAGGGGTTCCAGCTCCCTGATGATCTTTGTAGCCTCCTCTGGACCACGAAGAAACACAATTTGGGTGTAAAAAGCCATCTTTTTAAAAATGAAAGGCAATTAAACGAGCTCAGTGTGTGGCAGCCTGGTGGGGCTGTGAGAGCTGCTGCCCCAGGCTGGTGTCCTGCCCACCCCAGCTCCACTCCCTCTCCAGACAGGAGGATATCCCACGGGTGGGAGCTGTGCAGGTCGTGTGCTGCCTCCTGGCCGTGGCAGAGCCCAGCCCCTGGGGTTTCCTGGTGGGAGAAGATCCCTTTTCATTCTTTTGCTGTGCTCCACAGCTCCTGGGCAGCTCAGCTGCTGCTGCTGAGGGACCCGACTGCTCTGGGTTCACCCAAGGAGCAGGGAGCACCCACCCAGGTGGGATTTCAGGGGAGGTGAGGAGGAGATTTGCACACTTGATACCCAGTGGTGCCTTTGAACCATCTGAGTGCTGGCAGACAGGAGTCCTTGTGTCCAAGTCCTTGTGTCCAGGGCACATCTAGAATCATGGAATTGTTTAGGTTGGGAAAGACCTTTATACTGAGTCCAACTGTATCTTCCTTCCTTCCTTCCTTCCTTCCTTCCTTTCCTTTCTTTTTCCTTCCTTCCTTCCTTCCTTCCTTCCTTCCTTCCTTCCTTCCTTCCTTCCTTCCTTCCTTCCTTCCTTCCTTCCTTCCTTCCTTCCTTCCTTCCTTCCTTCCTTCCTTCCTTCCTTCCTTCCTTCCTTCCTTCCTTCCTTCCTTCCTTCCTTGTCCAACTGTATCTTCCTTCCTTCCTTCCTTCCTTCCCCTTTCCTTCCCCTTTCCTTTCCTTCCTTCCTTTCCTTTCCTTTCCTTTCCTTTCCTTTCCTTTCCTTTCCTTTCCTTTCCTTCCTTCTCCCCTAGGACTGGGGATGGAATTGAAAAGGAATTCACACACCACTGACCCAAAACGTGTCCCCAGAGCTGCCCTTGTCCTCACCTTGGGGGTGTCTGAACCAAAGTTTCCCAGCTGGAGCCCCTGCCCAGATCTCTGCATCCTCCCCAGCACGTGCCCAGCTTTCTGTGACCACCTCCCGTGGAGCCTGGTGTCCAAATCCTGCACCTCTTTGGGCCTTCTGGCACAGTTTGGTCCTGAGCCACTGCAGGAACGACCCCTGGCTTGGGGGGGCTTTGTAAAACTTTGGAATCACAGTCACTATTTCCACCATATTTGGGTTTTTTTTCCCTTGTAAAACAGACTTTATTTTTCTCCCTGTAAATTTTGTGCAACGTACATCTATAGAGTGATGGAGTACACCTCAAGAGAGAGTTTTTCACCCATACATTATATTACTCTTTATTTAAATGTCATGAAAAATCCAGACAACGCTTTTTGTCCTTAAATAAACCATTCTCCCTCCCCTGCCCTCCCTTCCTAGCTGACTGGTCCGAAAGAGGAAATTTTATTTAGTTCTTTTCTTTTCTTTAAAAAAATAGAAATTACAATCTTACAAGACAGAACATTCAATGAGAACAGAAGCATGTTCCTAAATCTAAAAAGGAAAAACAGTTCCAGAAAAACCTGCCGGTTATCTACAGGTAGGTGTGTGTGGAGGGGGGGGGGTCAAATGGAAACAAAACCTTTTCCATTTCTTCCTTTCATTCAGAGAGATAAAAAATAACATAAAACCGACGGAAACTTTATATAGTTTTTTTTTTTTCTCTTTTGCACCAACATTCACAAGAAATATATATTATAGATATATTTTATCCGTTTTTATACACAGTGTGAGGGTTCTGGAGGTGGAAACGCACACTCAGCTGAACTGCCAGAGCCAACAAACACACACACACACAGAATTAATCTTCCTCTGGAAAAGAGCAAACCCTCCTGGGCCACGGTGGCCCCACGCCGCCGAGCGCTGCGAGGTCTCGGGGCTGGTGGGATGGAAAGGGCCGTGAGAGGCCCAGGAGCCAGCCTGGCGGGGCTCTGGGGGCTCCCGTGGGTCACCCCCCTGGGCTGGGGAGAGCCCAAATCTCCCTTTTTTCAGGTGTTTCCACCCAGGTTTTTTTTGCCCTTTCCCTAGGAGCTTGCCAGCCTGGCCCTTGGGGGCACAGGGAGCACAAAGGGAGCTTGGCACGGGCACCCGGGTGCATCCTCCCCCTCCCCCCTGCTGCCCACGGCCCTTCCCTGGGCGAGAAATCACCCAACTGACACCAAATCACTTCTCCCCTCCCACGAAATCATCGAATCCACCAGTCAGTTCCTTTGAAGAGAAGTTAAAAGTGCAGGTTCCAGCAGTTTGGCAGGTCGAGTTACACGCGTTTAATGCTTCCCAGTCTTCCCTAAATTCCCACGGGGGGGCTTTTATTGCTCGGAATCCAAAATCTCTCCCGTGAGCTGGGCTCTGTGTCCCAAGCAGGAAAAACACAACCCAGTGGCGAGGGCTTGGGCTGTTCCCAGTTTAAGGTGCTTCCTTGGTTTCTTTGCCAGATGAAATGACAACGGGGCCGTTGACCATCGGTGATGAATATCGAGGATAGAAAGAGGGCGTGTGCTGGTTTTTTAACCCAAAAAAACCATTTCCAGCCACCCTTGGCTGTCCCCTCCGAGACGGGGAGCGCTGCTGCCCTGCAGCCACGAGCAGCTCCATCCTCCCCAGCGAGGAGCCGGGAAGGGAACGTTGCTGTGGGGGGTCGATTCCTCCAAAAAAGGCACAACCCTCTGGACGGAAAAGGCGGCGCCGACATCTCGCTGCTCCCCAGCTCCAGGGCCCCACAGGTCCCTGCCTTGGCACTCGGCGTGGCACGGGGAGGGTGGGCAGCCTCCACGGGAGCTCTGGCACCACCACGGGGAGGAACCAGGCTGAGGAGCTGTGAGCAGCAGCTCGGGTGGTGCTCGGCAAAGCCACGGCTGGAGGAGGAGGGGGGAGCGCACGCTCCCGAGTGTTTCTCTGCCTTGTGCCCAAGCAGAAATCCCATCGGCTTCCTGGAGAGTCTTCCCTGGTGGAGGCTGGTCCAGGGTGTTCCCTGGGAGGTCTTTGAAGCAAAAGGATGGCTATCCCCTACCCTCACTGAGAGAGCTGGTCGGTTAGCTGAAGGGAATGGTGGAACTGGAGGTCTTCGGCTCACGCTCGGGGATGATCTGAGCTGCTGGGTGAGGGGGTTGGACCCACCAAAAACAATCAACACGACGTGGGAAGGAGCTTGGGACTTTAGCCCTTTGTCAGCAGAAACTGGGGCTGCCTCGGAGCAGGTTTTTTTTCCTTTGTAGCTTTTGGCGTTTGCTGCAGGAGGATGAGGAATAGGGGTGGAAAAACCAGCTGCAGAGCCTGGCCAGAGAGTCCCTTCGAGTGTCCCTTTGGGCTGTGGATGCAGCATCGTCCCCCAATCCATCCCCTCTGCACCTTCTGAGCCTCCCAAGCTTGGAGCAGCAGGTCCCAACCTCACTGTGACTTCCTGGGGAAGGGAAAAGGACCTTTCGCTTCCCCTTGACCCCAATGGGCAGTTTTTCTCCCTAAAAAGCTCCCAAGTCCTGCTAAATAGAGAACAAACCCCAGAATAACAGTTCTAAAGAGCTCCATGAGGAGAAAGCCTGTGTCCAAGTCAACCTGCTCCCAGTGGTCCCAGTGTGAGAAGGGGGGATCTGGCAGCAGGACTGGCTGTGGGCTGGGTGGAGGAAAGGCCACAAAACCCCCTCTGGGTGCTGAGCCACAGGCCAGTTCTAACAGTCCCAATAAGAAAGCTACACACCCAGAACCCAAAAAGCCACTGCCTGTGACAAGGTGCAGGGACAGGCCCTGACCCCGGGTGGGGCAGTTGGGAGCTGGGATTTGGCCCCAGTCACAAGGGCAGAAGCCCTCCTGGAAAAGCTCTCAGGGTGTGGAGAGGTGGCCCGAGGTGGTGGACCTGCCAAATGGGCTCCAAAAAGCCAGGTGGTTGGCCAGCCAGATGGGAATTGGCCAAAAATGCTGCCATGGAGGGCGTGGAGACCCTGCAAAGCTGCCCCTCCACCACGCTGGGCATCCCTCCCCTCAAACCAGCCTCCTCCACGGGAAAATCCTGTGCTGAATCCCCCCCAGCCACATCTGGGTCTTTCTCAGCCAAGCTCCTGAGCTGAGCCCGTGCCCCGCGGGCTCGCTGCACCCATGGGAGAAGGAATAAAGCAAAGGCTCTGCCTTGCCCCCTCCTCAGCTCCAGCCAGGAGCCCAAACCTGCCCCCACCGGCGTGGATCACCCCAACCCCCCCGAGCCTGCCTCACCCCTTCTTCATCCCATGCCTTGTGTTGGGGTTAAAAAAAAAACCAAAATTAATAAAAATAATAATTACAAAATAAGAAAAGGAGAAGTGAGAGGTGGGGAGTGCAGCCAGGAGAGCCGGGGGGGCCGTGCCGCCGGCGTGTGCGTGGTGGGGAGGGGTCTGTCCCTCACCACCCCCAGGAGCATCTCCCCTCCCGAGCGGAGATTTCACATTCATTTCACGGGTATGGCAAAGTCCTTTTGCTTTTTCCTTCAAGGTGCTTTACATTCAAGAGCTATTGCAATCCACAGCGAGGAAACGGGGCCGGGGAGATCCCCCCCTCAGCCTCGCTCCCCCTCCAGATTCTCTGAAGTTTGATTATTTGATTTCAACAAATTGCCCCAAACCTCTGAAGTTTAGTTCGTCTCCAAATTTTGGGGAGGTGGAAGGGGGGCTGGCAGGTCCCAGCCTTAGCTCTCCCGTGGGTCGCTGTACTGAAGCTCCGAGTTGAAGACCTCCTTGTAGAGGGGTGGGAAGTTCATGGCAGTCTCCGGGTGCAGGAGACGGAAAAATTCCAGCTTGTCCAAGTGCAGGTTGCAAATGGTCTTCATCAGGGGCAGCTTGGAAACCATCTGCAAGGAAAGGAGTGGGTAGTTCCCAGCTGGAGTCCCTCACCCCACCATTCTCCTTCTCTTGGGGGTGAGAGGGTGGGTTTGGGGACCACTGGCTCTGCTCACCACCCACCCTTGGGCAGCCTGGCAGCAACACGGCCTCGTTTCCAAACCCACACCTTACCAACAGCCCCCCCCAGTGCCCCCCATCCCAGCTCCATCCTGCCTGGAGTGTTCTTGACATGGCTCCTTTTGCCCCAAACACCCGCTGATGGAGATGCTCAGCCCTCAGGAAGAGAAATTCTCTTCCTCCTCCTCCTCCAACAGGTCCCAGGGCTCGCCCCCCAAAATGCGTGTGGCTAAGGAGCCGTGGCACTGCCACGTACACCAGATCAGACCCTGTCCCAGCCAGGCTCCCTGTGCCACACGGAACCAGCTCCACTACCTTCGAGAGCTTGTCCTCGGCGGAGTGTTTCTTCTGGATCTCGTGCTGCAGGGCCACGTAGATCTTGTCCTGGAGCTTCTGCACCTTCTTGGACTCCGTCAGCCACGGGCGATCTGCGGGAGACAGCCCGGTCAGCGCTGGCACGGGCACGGGGAGGTGGCCTCTTGCTCTTCTAACCTGCTCTCCTTTTGGGGTGGGTGGCAGGGCCGGGCAGCCCCTCTCCACCCCCTCACCGAGGAGTTTGGGCAGCTGCATTCTTTCCCCCAACCCTCTTTCCTGGGAATATCTCCCACCAGCCGCCAAGGAAGCAGCGCGGAGATTTCGAGGTGAGCTCTGGGCAGCCTGGGCACGAGCCCCCTGTCCCCAGCCAGTGCCAGCTGCTGTCCCCCCCGGGGTGCCCCCCTACCCGGGGAGAGCAGGACGGCAGCAGTGAAGAGGGCGAGCTCCTCATCTGACAGCTGCAGCCGGCACAGGGTCCTGCCCAGCTCGAAGACGGCGCCGATGAGGTCGTCACAGCCTGCCGGGGACAGAGGGGACATCACGGCTCCGCCCCGCCCAGCGCCACCCCCCCCAC